AGAAGTCCCTACCCTTCTTCCAGATCATGAGGAAGACGGCTGGCTTTCTATGGACTCCAGAATGCCAGGGGGCTTTCGACGAGCTCAAACGGTATCTATCTTCACCCCCTGTGCTCTCCAAACCCAAGGTAGGGGAGACTCTCTACCTCTACCTTGGGGTCAGCCCGGCGGCCATCAGCTCTGTGCTTATCCGGGAGGAAGACGGCATCCAACATGCCATCTTCTACGTTAGCAAGACCCTAAGGGAGGCCGAGCTCAGGTACTCCCCTGTGGAAAAAACGGTGTTAGCCATCGTTTGGACTGTCAAGAAGTTGGGCCACTACTTTCAGGCTCACCCGGTTCAGGTCCTCACCCATCAACCCCTCGGCGCCCTCATGAGGAGCCCCACCAGCTCCTCCCGCATGGTGAAATGGGCTATCTTCTTGAGCCAATACAACATTGACATCCGTCCAAGGCCTGCCATCAAGGGCCAAGCCCTGGCGGACTTTGTGACGGAATGTACCGCAAGGGCAGCCACGGGCGGGGAGCCCTCGGCTACCTCGGACGACTGGTGGACCCTCTACACTGATGGCTCCTCCGCGACCAAAGCATGCGGGGGAGGGGTAGTCCTCATTACTCCCGAGGGCTTCAGGGCCTACTATGCAATCCGCTTCTCCTTCAAGGTCTCCAACAATGAAGCCGAGTATGAGGCCCTCCTATGTGGCCTTCGGCTGGCTGCCAACATGAGGGCTCGGCAGATCCACATCAAGTGCGACTCCAAGTTGGTCGTTGGCCAAATCTCCGAAGAATATGAGGCCAAGGAGGGAAGAATGAAACAGTACAAGGAAGCGGCCAAGGAGTTGCTTAAGGTATTTGAGGCACACTCTCTTACTCAAATACCGAGGGCTCAGAACTCCGAGGCCGACATATTGTCTAAGCTCTCGGCTGACTCCCCCGAGCACATCTCCAAAATTGCCAAAATCGAGGAACTCAGCCTCTCAAGCATCCATGCGAGCCCCGTTATGAACATACAACAACGACAGGAGGATTGGATCTCAGATATCACCGCCTTCATCTCCACAGGGCAGCTACCCGAGGATGAGGCCCGCGCTAAACTGGCAAAACTGAGGGCTCCCAGCTACACCATCGAAGATGGAAGGCTCTACAAACGATCTTACAATGGCACGCTACTTCGGTGCCTTCATCCAGATGAAGCCGAGGTCGCAATGGAGGAAGTGCACAGTGGCACTTGCTCAGCTCACCAAGGACCCTTCTCCATGTCCCGAAGGCTCATTCTCCAGGGCTACTTCTGGCCAACCATGGCCAGGGATTGTACTGACCTTGCCCGGAGGTGCACCGCATGTCAACATTTCCAGAAAGCCCCCGGCAGGCCAGCGGTCAACTATGCCCCCATCAGCACATCTGTCCCTTTTTCTCGATGGGGGATAGACCTTGTGGGCCCTCTGCCGAGGGGTACCTCCAACAACAGGTACATCATTGTGGCCGTCGACTACTTTACCAAGTGGGTGGAGGCTGAACCCCTCGCCAGCATCACGGAGGCGAAGTGCCGTCACTTCGTCCTCAAGAACATCCTCACAAGGTTTGGCATCCCCCAGCAGATCATCTCCGACAATGGGACACAATTTGAGGCAGCCCCCTTCTGTGCCCTTCTTGAGGCATGGGGCATCAAACACACCTTCTCCTCCGTTGCCTACCCTCAAGGCAACGGGCAAGTAGAGAACGCCAACCGGACCTTGCTCGAGGGCCTCCAAAAGAAGCTGGAGGCCGAGGGCGGTGGCTGGGTAGAAGAACTTCACAACATCCTTTGGTCCTACCGCACCACCCCTCGGCGAGCTACTGGTGAAACACCCTTCTCCCTCTGCTACGGTTTTGAAGCCAAAGCTCCTACGGAAGTCACCCTTCCTACCCGAAGGGTGATCCAGTATGACCCCGAGGTCAACGACAGCAACATGGCCCTCGACCTCCACCTCATTTCGGAACGCCGGGAGCAGGCCTTCATCCGGGCAGAAAACTACCGAAGGCAAGTTAAAAGCTACATCGACGCCAAAGTTCGAACCCGAGAATTTCAAGTGGGGGACTATGTCCTCCGGAGGAGGGAAGCCAGCCAACCAACCGAGGGAGGAAAAATGGCACCAAAATTCGAAGGCCCCTACATCATAGCAGCCATCATCAAACCCGGGACCTACAAGCTCAAACCCCCCAACGGGAAAGAAGTCCCTAGGCACTGGAATGTACACCACTTAATTAAATTTTATCAATAATGTAAGAGCGGCCAAGCCCTCATAACTAGTGAATGTACTATCCTATGGCCCAAGGCCTCCAATTTCGAAGAATGAAGATGCATTCATGACATCAAGCCCTCATACTGACTACAGGCCCCAGGCCTCACCACGAGAAGAACCCCCTCCGGCACCAAGTGCCGAGGGCGGACACCATCAACACCTACAGCAAACAGCGAAAACACCACGTGTTTTCAGTCAAGACCCCTCGGTACCAAGTGTCGAGGGAAGGAACCCCTATCACCAACAACAAGGAACACCATGTGTTTCATTTCCCTTCGGCACCCAGTGCCGAGGGTACATCCCCACCTTCAACATCAAAAACGAAAAGATGAGAACACCAAGTGTTCCTACAGAAGACCCTTCGGCACCCAGTGCCGAGGGTACACCTCCATCATCAAACATCGAAACGAAGCGAAAAACACCAAAATATTTCAAAGAAGACCCCTCGGCACCCAATGCCAGGGGGATGCTCTCCTATCAACTTCCAAACATCTATTGGGAAACACCAAGTGTTTCATTTGAAGACCCTTCGGTACCAAGTACCGAGGGTAGACACCTCCATCAACTGCAACAAAGGAGAACACCAAGTGTTCCTACAGAAGACCCCTCGGTACCAAGTACCGGGGGCTACACATCGAAACTAACACCAAGTGTTGTTTCTAAAAGCCGTACCCCACGAGGACGCATATACCGAAGGCGCCACCATCGGTGCCGGCAGCACGTAGTGCCCCCGGCCATTTGCAACTAGTGTGCAAATGAAAACCCTTCCTTGAAACGCTTTCCGCGTCACTACCCCCAGGGTGTGACAGGCATGAGAAATGCCCAGGATTCGACTTTCAAAAACGGAACGCTATCCGCGTCACTACCCCCAGGGTATGACAGGTATGAGAAATGCCCAGGATTCGACTTCCAAACCGAAACGCTCCCCGCGCCACCACCCCAAGGGTGTGGCAGGCCACGGACTATGTCTGGCGCCGAGGGGACGACTTTCAAAAATGAGGCGCTTTCCGCGCCATCCCCCAAGGGGAGGCAGGTTACGGACCACCATATCTTGTGCCCAGGAAACGTCCCTCGATCCCCTCGGCATTCGGAAGATTAACCCGAGGGAGGAGAGCCATTGGTGTATTCTGATGGTCTCCTAATAGGCCCAGCCTTACCAAGAAACCAAGTTTCTTGATGCCTTCCCTTCACCACCAACCAAAAAAAAAAAAAAAAAAAAAAAAAAAAAAAAAGAGGGGGTGAAGGGGAGTAGACTCAGCGAGAAATCAAAGAGTACACTCCAACAAAATCACAACATGCCGAGGGCTCCTCACGGGGACACCTCCGGCAATTGAAGACTCCTATTTCCCGAAGGCTACTACTCAAGGAAATATCATCAGGAAACGGCTAAGTCCACTACCTGGTCACCTCCGGTCACAAAGACACCGAAGGCTTCAACAACACAAAGGGACTAGACTGTCCAAGGTCCACTAAACGGTACTTCAAACAAACACCGAAGGCATCCGTTATGCACAAATACCGAGGGCCCTTTCCCCATGACAAGGATCAAATTCTACGACTTTTGAAGTGTATGCCGAGGGCACACACTCCTCATTGGCTTTCTTCACAACAACAGGAGTCAACATCAATGTATGCTTAGAAAAAATTCTAAATCCTGAAGGAGCAGCCCCCGGGCACCTGAAGGCTACACAGGGAAGCAGCACTTGAAAAAATTCTAAGTCCCAAAGATTGGGCCCCCGGCCCAACCAATATTACAGCCAAGGGAATATGGTGGCCGAAGGCCATGCAATACAACAACAAAAAAAAGGAGGGTATTACGTCCTAAATGAGTAGCCCCCGGGCATCTCGCAAAGTGATGAGGAATCAGAGGGCAGCCATCACCCGAAGGCTCCCAAGGGGGATTTTACACTTAGAATATTTTCTATGTCCTACATGTTTTCCCCGGTCAACTACTCATACATCAAGAAGGGATGCCATCTCCCGAAGGCTCCCAAGGGAGACTTTACACTTAGAATATTTTCTAAGTCCTACATGTTTTCCCCGGTCAACTACTCATACATCAAGAAGGGATGCCATCTCCCGAAGGCTCCCAAGGGAGACTTTACACTTAGAATATTTTCTAAGTCCTACATGTTTTCCCCCCCCCCCGGTCAGCTACTCATACATCATAGAGGTATGCCACCTCCCGAAGGCTCTCGAGGGAAACTCTACACTTAGAAGATTTTCTAAGTCGTACATATTTCACCCTCATCTCAAGGGACCTAATTGCCGAAGGCTACCTATCAATCGAGAGCTACGGTACACAAGGAATCAACACTCAAGAAAATTTCCTAAGTCCTAAAGAATTGGCCCCCGGCCTATTCAATATTTCAGTTGGGGCTCCACAGTAGCCGAAGGCTACATGACATACTACACTTGCAAAAAATCTCTAAGTCCTGATTCCTACTGAACCCTCGGTCCAACATTCACACATCAGGAAGGGAGGCCATATCCCGAAGGCTCTCAATGGGAAATCTACAATTAGAAATCTACACTTAGAAATCTACACTTAGAAAAATTTTCTAAGTCCTAATTGCTGCTGAACCCTCGGTTGCATATCCAGCGGAGGGTGCCCAACTACCGAAGGCTCCCAAGGGCTAGCTACAATCAGATGGTATTCTAAGTCCTAAGACATACATTCAAAGGAACAAGACATACATTCAAAACAAAGACGAAGGCATACATTCAACAATGAACAGATCAGAAGGAAGCATATCATATACACCAAGCCCGAAGGCAATCATTCAATTACAACACAAAAATAGTCAATGTGATCATTACAGAGTGTGGCCAAAGCCGAGGGGCAACAAAAGTTTCATTACAAGGTTTTTTTAAAAAAAAAATTGACTAAGTAATAATCTTCTCGGCGGCTTCAGCCTCGTTGTCACCGGGGGCATCTTCCACGACAGCCTTGGAGGAGACTTCTTCTCCGGCAGCATCACCCCCGACGGCTCCAACCCCGTCACCCCCCATCATCACAGAATCATAGATTGTTGGCCGCTCTTCACCCGGGGGGAGGGGAACTCTGACATCTGGTTGCAACGGAGGGAGGCCGTATACCGAGGGGTCAAATTGTTCGAGGGATACACCGAAGTGCCTGGCGAGCCTCCGGTATATCAGGTGCTGGGTAAAAAACTCACCCCCCCTGATAGTAGGCGTCGCCCCTATCGGTCAGCCAGTCAACCCCGGGGCCTTCTACCCAAGCGTCCACCGAGGCTGCCACCACGGAGGCAACCCACTCCTTATGGCCCTCGGCCCTCCAGCCCTCAGCAAGGAACTCCGCAACTGCCTCCCCTCGGGCCTCGGCCGCAGCTCTCTCCTTAGCAGTTTGGGCTTCATCGGCGACTTTCTTCGCCGCCTCGGCAGCAGCCCTCTCGGCCTCTGCCTTGCCTTCGGCTATACCATCAGTCTTGGCCTTCTCCGCCGCCGCCTTCGCCTCCCGAAGGGCCTCCTCCAGCTGGGCAGCATGCTTCACCGCCTCGGAGTTCTTACGGATCAGCCCCTCCACCTTCTTATCCTGGGCGGCCTCGTGAAGACGCCTTTCCTCGCGCCTCCGGGCCTGTTCCCCGAGGGCTATGCAGGCCTGCGAACAATGATCAAAGGAGTTAGATTGTTCCTCAGGAAAATATAAGACTACACTGACAAGATAAGGAAAAAGGAAGCGGATACTTACAGTGAGCGAGGAGCGGAGGATCCTGTTCTCGAGGGCATCGTCATCGTAGGTCTCGAAGACTTCCCTGTCCATCTTCGAGGTGATGCCCCGCAGGAAGGCCTTCGGCTCGGCAGTGTCGTGCATCAACGAAGCGCCGGGGGCAAAGGAGAGCTAACGGATCTCCCGGGGTGATTCCGCCCGGGGGGGATTCACCGGATCCTTCGGGGGGACCGAGGCCAGAGGCTCATCAACGGCGGGCATGTCATCAATGACTATAAGGGGGGCCGCCTCCCCGACAGCACCCCCGGCGCCTTTCTGCTTCTTGGTGGGGGGCTCCACCCCCTTGTCGCCCCTCTTCTTCTTAGCGGCCGCCTCGGCCTTCGACCTCCCGGTCCCCACAGAAGCATGGGCATCCCCGGCGGAAGGCTCTATGGCCTTCGGGAAAAGCGCGTCAACTGGCTTCTGGCTCGAGGACCCCTTCTCCTTTTGCTGGGTCTTGCCCTTCCTCTTCGCGAACAAGGCGTTGGCATTCATCCTGCTACCTGCAAAGAACGACAGCAACAAGTTGAAAGGTTAGAACCGAAGGGTCAATAACATGACAACAAACATAACAAAAAATCTCTAAGTACGAAAAGTAAAGCCCTCGGCCACTACCTCCTGCTCCCACGAAGGCTTTATCGTAGAAGGGATATTTCTCGTCGGTCTCCCCAATGAACCGATACCTCAGGAATCCGAGGGCATACAGGTCCTCCTCGAGGGTGCACTCCTTGATGGTTACGTTCTTTTCCCGACCCTCGGGAATCTTTGCAATCTTCAGGCCATCCTTCTCGAGGGCGGCACTCTTGGCCTTCACATGGCGCCGAAAGCGATTCCGCAACTCCCTCGGGAACGGGCTGTCGGCCAGTCTGATGTAGCACCATCGCTCTCTCCACCCCTTGTTGGAAGAAGGGGCCTCAGTGAACAGCTTGAACTGAGCTATCTGCTGTAAGTTCGCATAGCCCTCGGCATTTGTATGTCCCCCCCGGCATAGGTTGAAGCTTTGGAAGAATAACTCCAGGCTCGGGGTAACCTTCCGGAGTTTGCACAGGTTCACAAACCCCGTTATGTACGAGTGGCTGTTGGTAGTCAGTTGGCAGGGGGCCAGGCCGGTGTACCTCAGGTACTCCCGGAGGAACGGATGGAGAGGGAACCGGAGGCCCATTGAGACCGAAAGCACGTGCACGGCTATACATCCCTCGGGGGGCCGCGACAGCACGTCATCGGGACCTGGCTCGACTACCACGACCGAGGGCCCTACATGCAATTGGGTGATATAGATGTCCGCCCTGTCAGCTTGGGACTTGATCTCCAGAGCGGCGGTGTCCAGGAAGGAGTAACCCTCCGGTAGATCAACTGGCCCCCCTGATCGACGGTCTTTGCTTTCTTCTAAGGGGCGGCCTTCGTCTTTCTCTTCTTCATCCCGGGGGCCACCCGGAGGGGAACTACGTTCAGCGGCCGGGAGGTACTGGCCTCACCAGCACCCCGAGGGGGAAGGACGGCCACAGTGACCTTCGCCCTCTCCTTCTCCTCCTCCTCTTCAGCAACTTGGACGGCGAGGGCCAACTCTTCATCCTCGGCAGTTCGCTCGAATTCCTCCGCCTCGGCCTCAGCCGTCAGATCCTTCTGCACCTCAGTGGCGAGGGCTGCATCACCACAATCCGAGGGCTGACCACTGCTTGACTCCACATCGGAGATGCCTTCATCCTCCACCGAGGGCGCCCCCGAGATATCTTGAGAATCACTCTGGGATGACATTCGCACTCTAGTCCGAGGGCTCGTAGACGGTAGTGTTTCCTAACTTTTCTATCTCCTAACCTAAGGGCACAGTACAGCTATGCTAGAAGGAGAAAGGCAGGGAGCACTGACCTCGAAAGCTGAGTTAGGACCAAAGGCTGGAGTTTCTCTCACTAGATTTTTTGGCAGAGCTTCGCTAAAACAACTGAGTTCGCACAGGGGAAATGGCTCTGGCCTTGGGGTATTTATAGGCGATGAATCCGGGCTTGGGCCTGGATTCCGGGCCTCGGGACGGACCGCCATCATTACACACCGCCGTTTCACCCAACCGGTGACGCCGCCCACGAACAGCCAGCCATCACACGCCACGTGTGCCACCCCCCCCAACGACCATATCCTGTCGTTACATATTCCAACGGCTATATTTCCAACGGCTATATTCTGGAAGCCCCCGGGTTTTCTACTTCACTCCACTTCATCAAGGATAGCCTCCGGGTGCACTCACCCAGAAGTGCCCCCGGGTTGTGCCCCACACAGCACATTACACACGCCTTCGGGATCACTCCTTCAGAAACCCAGGGCTTCATATCAGGACACCCCCTCGGGGATTCCCCCTCAGCACTGCAAAACCGGGTAAGCCCCCGGGGAGTTGCCTCATTGACGGATGACCCACGGCACACAGGTAATGGAAGCCCTCGGGTATCTTCATCACCATCTGATCAACAAACAGTGGACCCCCCGGAAACAACTTCACTGCTGCCCTCATCTGGCAGGCCCTCGATCTCTGGATTGAGGGGCTCCCCTTCGGCGCCACCAGGACATCAACAGCAAGCCTTCGGCTAATCAAAACAGGAGCCCTCAGAAGAGAGAGCCTTCGGGATTCCCGTCATTCTCCATTTTTTACCAAGGTTTGATATTTTCGATTCATCATTGGGGGAATTCGGTGCACTCTTTTTCCCTCATTAGGATTTTTTTCCCAAAGGGTTTTTCCTAATGAGGTTTTTAACGAGGCATCCCCCCAAAATGAAACAAAAAGCGTCAGCCTTCGGCCCACAACAGCAACGTAACTACTTTACTCCTTTTCACCACTCTACAAGTGCCTCAAGGAGTGGGGGACTGGAGGACCCCCTCGGGAGAATCATTAAATTACAAAATCTGTGAAATTCCAACAAACAACAAAGCAAGCCCTCAAGTCCCGACATGTGGGTAACTGAGGGACTGCCTTCGGCAGGGACACAAAAGCAACAACTCCTCACCAACTTCAGAGATCACGACGGGACAACATCAAAAGGCAAGCACAAGTTACTCCTTTTCCCTCAAGTACCTTTCGGCAAAAGGAGTGAGGGACTCCTGATGGAGTATATGGCCCGGGAACCCCCGGCCCACAGACTCCTACTACTCCAGCGAAGGCCCAACAGGCCCAACGGGCCCAAATCACAGCGCCCAGAGTACCAAGCAGCCCGCACTACGCGCCAGGGGTGCCTTCGGCCCCCCGGCCGAAGGCTCTAAATTCTCACAGAACGGGTTTCTCAAGCAAATTAAGAAACTGGGAGAAAACGGCGAAAACAGTAGCCCTCGGCACTGTGAGCCCTCGGCACCAGGGTGCCATCGGGTGGAAGAGCCCTCGGCTACTGCTCTATAGCCGAAGGCATCTCACTCGACAAGATATTCGCCTCACATGCGTGCAGATCACCGTACCCTGCACAGACGTCCCATCCAACAGCCGCATTAAATGCGGCCACATGCGGTTGCCAGCGCCAACCAGTTGAGGTGACCCCTCGGCCAATGAGCGCTTGACACGTGTCCCTGCCCGGCATTTATTGCTACTATAAATAGCACCCCATTTCCCCATTTGTAACCAAGTCATAACACGCTGAAAACACTCCGCATTTATAATACATTTTCTCTCTCTACTTTTACTTACTTGCTCTGACCTCTCTCTAAGTTATTCCCCGTAATAACCCTTCGGATATATACCCCCGGGTAGACTATCCATCATACTCCATCAGTTGGATTGGGAGAAAATGTTTGATTATTCAGCTGTTTGCCCATACAAATTAGGAGAAAACACTATATTTCAAAACGTGTACCTAAAACTCTTGTATTCACAGTGTTTCCATTTCAACGATTCTGTCCAAAAAAAAGTTAGGTCCACACTATTATTTACTAAATAACACTTCATTTTTAGAATAATTTGAGTCTGCACCTCAATTTGTTTTTGCACCATAACCCCGTATGAAACGGCAAAATGATCCTCGTTAACAATTATGTTAGCCCTCAACACATTGATTGTATAATGTTTTCAAAAAGTTACTGCGTATTTTTCATTTCTCGTATCCGTGGATCCCGAGGACTGCATATACGATAGTATGTGTCAACTGTTTAGAAATTGTTATTGAGTTTATTCTTTCAACGCAGTTCCGATTTTCGAAATACGATGTGTATAAAATACTCTGTATATCGTATACCTTGCTATTACCGGCAATCCTTCACGTGTTTCGCCCATCACTCCACTCCGATCCCTCTACATACTCGAAAAAATCATCTCTCCCCAATTTTCACACATCCATGGCCTCATTTCGTCGCCTTTTATCTCCCATTCTCTGCTTTATATCTCTGTTTTCCCCTGTTTTACCGGCGAAATTTACCATAGTCAACCACTGCACCTATACAGTTTGGCCGGGGATTTTGTCAAACGGCGGTAGTCCGTCGGCTGAGACCACCGGATTCGCTTTGGAAAACGGTCAATCCCGAGACATTACTCAACCCCGTGCTTGGGCCGGCCGGTTATGGGGACGGTTCGATTGCTCGGGGGAGGCTACCGCCGGGACATTTACTTGCGAGAGCGGAGATTGTGGCTCCGGCGCGGTGGAGTGTAACGGGAAGGGAGCACAACCGCCGGCGACATTGGCGGAATTTACGCTTAATGGGGCGGACGGGCTTGACTTTTTTGACGTGAGCCTGGTTGACGGTTACAACTTACCAATGCTTGTGGCCCCACAGGGTGGGGCCGAAGGGCCCGCGAACTGTAAGGAGACCAGTTGCGAAATCGATATCAATCGCATTTGCCCGGCGGAGCTGCAGCTGGGGGCCACCGTCGACGGCGACCGTAAGGTGGTGGGGTGCAAGAGCGCGTGCTTAGCCTTCGGGACACCCGAATACTGCTGCTCTGAAGATCACGCGACTCCAGAGACCTGCCCTCCCAGCAATTACTCTGCCAACTTCAAGAGCGCGTGCCCGAGCGCGTACAGCTATGCTTACGACGACCAAACCAGCACCTTCACTTGCGCCGCCGCGGATTACGTCATTACATTCTGCCCTGCCTCTTCCTCTTCCACCAGGTATATATTTTTGACAGTAAACTGAAATCGGTGAATTTGAAGAAATTGGTGAAATTACAAATTAAACTTGATCACCAGCGATTTCGGGCGTGTTTCAATTTCAATGTGTACATATGTTAAGTTAAACTATTATAGTTTCGAGTTGGTGTTCGATTTCGAGTCTAACGAGGCGAGTCAACTTACCGAGTTTTGATCTGCATTCTATATCATAATGGGATCGTTTGGATATGAGCGTTTTATCCAAACCGCCTTCCATTTTACACCTGAAACGCTGCATTTAGCACCGGTTGGGGGGAGAAACCGGCGAAATGCAAACGACCCCAATGTAGAACTGTTCGGTTCCAACTAAATACTTGAATATTATGAGGATAAACTAAATAATAGTATATGTTAAAATTTAAACGTTTTTTGTATTATTATTAATTAAAAATGATTATTAAAAAATGAGTATTTATTGAATTATTCAAGCCTGAATCTAATAACCCAACCATTAGCTAAACTTATAAATTTGAACATATATATCGAGTGCTCGAACAAAAACTGGAACATGTATCAACCCGTATGCGAGCCCCATTTGTATAGTTTGTTGGGGTTCGAGCTCGAATTCAAGCACCACTATTACTGAACTAAGGTGATTATAGGGTCTGGTTGTTTGGGATTAGCTCAAACCCCTAAAAGCTCTATGTCAACCAAATTTAAAAATAGAGACTAAAATATTAATTTTGTTTTGTCCTAAAATTATGTACATTTTTTGTTTTCCAGTTTTCCACACATCTAAAAAAATGTGTTATGTTTTTAGAAAAGATATAAGTTAAGTTGTACTAATTAATTTTTCTTTGCAATTAACCTCAACTGCATCATTTTAACTTTCTTTTCTTCCAAGTCAAGCGAGCAATAGTTTAGATATGGACTATTTGTCTCATAATGTTGACTAAAAAAACTAATCGTTCACTTCATAACATTTTTAAAGATCATTCTCACATCTTAGTTTTTTTTTTCTTTTAAAGCACACTTGAATTGCATTACTTTTCTTTCCTTCTTGCTCACAAAAAGGCATGAGAAAGTTGATTTTTCCCTAAAAAACGTATTCCCTAAAAAGTACTCCCTCCGTCCTTAAAAGGATTGCCAAGTTTGATCGGCACATAGAATTATAAAGTAAAAATTGTGTGGTAGAGATTTGTGCAGAGGAGAGAAATAACATGAACCACAAATTGATTCATTTAAAAGGAAAGTGACAAAGTTTTTGGGACAACCAAAAATGGAAAATTGGCAAAGTTCTAAGGGACGGAGGGAGTAACTTTTTGTGCATGAAATAAGAAGCAAGACAAATATTCAAACTTTAAAGTAAATTCTAAATTAAATAAACAAAAGATCCTCAATCAAGATATTACCCAAAATAGGACTAGAACGGTTTGAAAATTCCAAAATAGGACTGTCATGTTTTTATTCCCAAAATATGACTAATTACTGTCATGTTTTGGATGTACCAGACTTCAAACATGGCAGTATTTTCTAAACATGGCAGTATTTAGTCCTATTTTGGGAATAAAAAATATGAGAGTCCTATTTTTGAATTTTTAAACTGTTTTAATCCTATTTCGGGAACTTTCCCTTTATTAATTAAGAGTGTGGAGTCCATACAAGTTATTTACTGAACCCTTGTATATTTGCTAAGAATTGAATTCAATTCTACACCTAATGAATCGGTTAAGCTATACTCATAGATAACTTTAAACCAATTCTATGTTTGTGCTGTCATAGGTTATTCTTTCTCACAAAAAGCCATGAGAAAGTAGCTTTTTTCCTAAAACTTATTCCCTCAAAAGTAACTTTTTGTGTATGAAATAAGAAGCAAAAGAAATATTCAAACTTTACAGTAAATTCTAAAGTTATTCATTCTTTTTTAATCGACCCTTTCAAAAACTTATTATATATCTTCTCCTTTGAAGAAAAAGATGTATGAAAGTTTTAGTTTCTTATGGATTTGAATTTGAATTTTTTATCATTTCTATGATTGGTCTTGAAGTTCAAATATGTTTTTAGTTTTTCTAAATATAAAATTTTAAGAAAATCTCAGTCGAATAATTTCTTTTCATTTTCACTACAATATATGATCTCGCTTACGCTTACATAATTCTCTAATTTAAACTTTTGATTTTGGATTTTATACTACTTTTGGACGTAAGAAATCGTCACTTAATAGAATCATACGGTGAACTAACAGAACTTCATTCGTCTCGTCCCAATAAGATTGTTTATTTTTCCTTTTCGCTCTCTTCGTCTCACTAAGATTGCTTCATACCAAATTTGATAAGTTTTTGTAGTTTTAAATCATCCATATTTTATTCTTATTTTATCAATTTAATATCAACCACATAAACTTACTTTTCTTAATAACTGCATCACATCCTCATGTCTCAATGTTAGTGGGATGGATCTAGTATCAAATATGACATGAGACAAAGATATGGAGACACATATTGACATATGGCTAGAAAAGAAGGAACAAAGATAGTTAAATAGATAAATGATATATGCCAGCAGTCTATTAGTGACCTATAAAAGAAAGATTTCCCAAAACAGGACTAAATATGGTATGAAATTTCAAAATAGAACTGCTATGTTTTTCTTCCCGAAATAGAAGTAAGATGACAATATTATACATTCAACATGACAGTATTTAGCATAATTAATGACAATATTTTCCAATCATGATAGTAACGAATCATATTTCTGGAAGAAAAACATAGTAGTCCCATTTTTGAACCATCTCCTATTTAGGGCAATTTCCCTAAAACTAAGTTAAAAAGATATCATAAGGATTTGATGAGAGACTAAAATTAAACAGAAATATAAACCATTGGGATAAAAACTAAAAAACCACAGGGGCTTAATTAAAATAAAAGGCACAAAGTTCTTACCACATAATTGCAAATCACAGATTGAATCAGCTTATCGAATAAGTACAAACATACTACGTATTTAATAAGCTATACCGATTTGCTTACCACATAAGTTCTTTAAGTAAATCAATTTTGAACCCCATTTTTATTTTAAAAGTATATGTTGTTAACTAATACATGCATAGTATAATACGTAGTAATCAATATTTACCAAATGTACATTAGAAACTTATCAGCTATATATAAGCTAGTTTAGGGCTTATTGTGTCAACCATGGTTTAAATCTCATTTCAACTGCTAACCTAAATCCTAATTGAAAAAAGACATAATATTTCCTTTTTCTTCTCATGTAAACTTTCAATAAAACCGTTGCACGTTCGTAACACCTTCCCATCCATTGCAGGCATTAATAGATTATTGTTCTTAAAAGTCAATGATTTAACATTATTGGTATGCTGTACAGTTTCAACTTTTGAACCGACAACCTCGTCCTTAATATACAGGTGTTTTTGGACTGCATGAAAAATCAAAGTTTATGTTCGTTTTGTTGTTCAATGCTTTCTGAAGTCTATCATTTCAAGATAATGTATAGTTATGTAACAACGTATGGTTCCTTTCTACTATTAAGAGAAATATGGACATTGACCAAAGATGTGTCATAGTGCATTTAGGGTATGTTTGGGAGTTTGGAGGGAAGGGGAGGAGAAGGCTTTGAAGGTACGTTGTTGGAGGGGAAAGGAAGGAGATGGTGAAGAAGTCTTTTTTTGTATTTGGGAGTAATAAAATTGGAAGAAGAGGGTTTTTGAAAGAATTATAATTAAAATCACTTTGAGATATGACGAATTCAAATCAATGAGCTGATATTCGTTTCTAATTTAGCTTAAATTACCATCTTGTTAATTATCCTCCAAAACCCTCCAAATTGGGGGAACTTAAAAATTAAGCATTTGGAGGGTTTTGAAGGGTTACAAAAGCCCTCCAAAACCACCCCTCCAATTTTTTAAACTCCCAAACATGAAAAGGAGGTTCATAAACCCCCATTAACCTTCCCCTCCCCTCCAAAACCCAACTCCCAAACACACCCTTAGAGATATAAAAAGAGTTGGAGATGAAAAGAGTAACATTGACCACACAATAGTACTACATGTTACAAAGTTAAAACTATATTCTTTTGTCCCACAGCAAAGATAAATGTCAGTTTTAGTTTTTTAAAGCATACTTGTACTTGATGTAGCTATGTTATTAAGATTTCCCAAAAGATCTTTGTCTTATAAAGAACTTTTTTTATGGAAATCAAAAGTTCATTTCAACATTTTTAAGACAAGGAAAGTTATGGGTATATTCATTTCTTAATTGAAGCTTGTTTGGTGTCACATATATGTGCACGTATGGTGAATGTGATTAACAAATCTTAAAGAATTGTTAAATGCATGCAGTCAGAGGACATCCGGAGGACAATCGACAAGTCCCAGCAGTGGCGGTGGCGTGTCAGCTGTAGGCTTCTATCATCAGCAAATTTTTGCCCTTTTCATCACCACCACCATTTTAGCACTGCCAGCTTTTGAATCGATGCAGTTGCACTAACCACCATTAGCTAACTATAATGTTAAAAACTAACAAAAGAGTCATTTCTTATACTCTCATGAAAAAGATGCAATTTATGTAGTTTATATATTTGAGCATTGAAAATAGATTCTGTATACAAAATTATAGGTTTTGCATTTATTTTTTGAATTAAAAACAGTTAATGATTTATTATTCGGAAAAGTAAGGATAATCATAATCATAATGTCATTAGTATTTAAAGCATTGATAAATATACAAGGTTCGAGTTGTGGGAAAATTGGACCAAGTGACCAAGGTTCGAAACCCGCAACGGCCGTGTGGAGTTTACAGAACCTGAAATAAGACTGGACCTCTGGTGCGCACGTATATAAGGTCTACCGCCGCTTTACTGACTGAGTCACCGTGATTAACCTCCCCACCATCCGGTCGGGTCAGAGTGGGAGGCTCCTGGGGTGGGAGATTCCACCTTTTGGACCAAATTGATAAATATAACTAAAACCAAAGTGACTGACAAAATGTTGATGGGCCAACTGTGATATAGCTGGGGCCTGGGAGTGATCATATATTTTACATGTCTTTTGAGTTTCGTTATTTTGATATGTGCAAATTGTGATATAGCTGGTGGGTTTGGGACTCCTGGGAGTGATCATATAATTTTACATGACTTTTGAGTTTTGTTATCGTAGTAATCTGTAATCAGAACAAATCCTTATTTTAACGTGTAAAAGCAATGAAATGGTTAACTGTTTTACTAAAAATACCATCTTTATCTTACAAAATACAAATATTATACTCCCTCCGTCCCGCAATGAACTTCCCACTTTCCTTTTTTGGATGTTCCAGAAACAAGTTCTCATTTCCTTAAATGGAAAGTTAATCTACAACAAAACAGTGCCAAACAGTGCCAAACAGTGTCGAAACAGTGCAAAACAGTGTCAAACAGTGTCAAAACAGTAAAATTTAGGAATTTTATCAATTCAGGACCCGAAAGATAAATTAATTATCAATTTGGGACCTGAAAGATAAAATGCATCGATATAGGACCCGAATGATGAAAAACTATCAATTTAGGACCTGAATGATTGAAAACTATTAATCTAGGACCTAAGTTGTCATAATTTTTTTATTAAAATTTTTTAAATATTATTTGGTTTTATTAAACTAATAAACTTTTGTGAAGAAAAGTTTATCAAAAATTAGTAATGGAATTAATAAAAATTAAATAAATCAAAACCTATGAAACGTTAGGTGCTAAATTGATAGTTTTCCATCATTCGGGTCCTGAATTGATAATTAATCTATATTTCGGGTCCTGAATTGATAAAATTCCTAAAATTTACCCCATGATAAGTTTATTTCCTTAATATGTGTGTAGGTTAAACTGTGAAGTTCATTCTGGGACGGAGCGAGTACGTAGTATTTTACATAATACTAAACCACTTGTTACAAGAGACTGAAATGCACTTTTTAAAAAATGTCATCCACCGAATTAACACTTAACAAGAGGCAAAATTCCCAAAACAAAAGTAAAAATGTTTTAAAATTTCAAATATGTTTTTGTTCACTAAATAGAAATAATTAGTATCAAATTTAGAAAAAACTACCATGTCTAAAACCTAATAAAAGCCAAAATATGTCAATAATTTACTCTTATGGAGAATACCAATATAATAGTCGTATTTGAAATCTACAAACGTTTTTATAAAATTAAAACGACTTGAAAATATGGCCCTCTTTGTATGATACAATACAGGCATTTCCCATAACCAGGGGCGAGTTTAGGATTAGGGGTGGACTCAGGTCCGGGCCGGGTCCGGGTTAGGCCATGTCCGGGCGGGCCGGCGGTTCAAGAACGGTGGACCCGGGACCGGCCCAGGTAGCCATCGGGGTTGGTCCGGGGCCGGGCCGGGCCAGGCTGAGCCTCCGGTTTGGATTTTTTTTTTTTTTTTGCTTTCCTACCCCCCCCCCCCCCCCCCCCTCACCCCCCAAACCCATCCTACCCATCAAGCCAAACCCGAGTGGAACCCCAAAAATGAAAAAAAATTAAAAAAATTCAATTTGGCCCGGGCCCAACCTGGTCGGGCCGGTTCACCAAATTTGAGACCCGAGCCCGGACCCGCCCTACCCCCTAAGACTAGGCCCGACCCGGATCCGGACCCGAGAACCGGGCCGGTCCCGGTCCTGCACAGTAGCGGGCCGGGCCGGTCCACGGGCCGGGTGGCCCGACCCGAGTCCAACCATATTTAGGATACTGGCTTTGGGTTGCCCGAATTGGAAACCGGCCTGTCCAATCCCATTTTGAATTTTTTTCATTGTTTTCATTAGGAAGTAAATGAAAGGGGGTGGAGGTCCACTGGAAAGGTGAAAAGGGTGGGAAGGGGGGATTTGTTTTTTTTTTTTAATTATGATACTCGACTACAGGACTAGAATAGCCCAGTTGACTGGACCCCCCCGATTCCTATAACGAATTCTCAAGGACCAGTTGGTAAGGGGATTAAAACCAGATTGGTCCAACTAGGGATGGAATGGGATGGGTCGGCCTAACCCAGGCCCGGTACTGTATAGGCCTGGTCCTGTCCCGGGGCTCGGCCCGGAGGCTATAAGGTCGGGCGTCGGGCTCATTTTCTTATGCCCGGCCCAGGCCGGGCTCAAGCCTGAATGCACTATTTTTGTAATTGAATGCCCAGTCCCTTTCTAAAGTAGGGGTGGACCGGTTCCGGTTCGGGCCCGGTTCGGGCCTGGGCCTATGGATGGACTCGGGTCCAGGTTGGGTCCGGGCCGGGCCTGGGCCCGGGCGGGCCGGCGGGTCAGAAATGGTGGACCCAGAACCGAAAGTAACCACCGGGTCCTGTCCGGGTCCGGGCCGGGCCCATTATATTTCTTTTTTGTTTTTGTTTTCCTCTTCCTAATTAACCCCCCTCCCACCCCCAACCCCCCAAACCATCCCAAATGGCCCAAAATACCCAGCCCAACCTGAAAATTTAAAAAAAATTGAAAAAAAAAAATAGTTTTTGGCCCGAACCGGGCCCAGGCCCGGCCGGGTCGGGCCTTGTTTTGGGTGACCCGAGCCCGGACCGGAAAACACACGGGCCGGGCGTACCCGAACCGGTCACTGACCGGGCCACCGGGTCGGGCCGGAACAGTACCGGTCCCGGGCCGGTTCCGGGTCGGGCCACCCGGCCCGAGTCCATCCCTACCTAGGCCTGGCCGGGCCTCGGTTCAAGAAGGGGAGGCCCGGAACCGGCCAGGGTAACCTCCGGGTCCGGGCCGGGCTTCGGTTTAATTTTTTTTTTTTTGGCTTTTCTTAGTTAACCCTCAACCCTCCCCCTCACCCCAAACCACCTCAAATGGCCCAAAATACCCAGCCCAACCCAAAAAATTAAAAAAATTAAAAAATATATATATAATTGGCCCGGCCCGGGCCCGAACCGGCCGGGCCGGTTCACCTTTTGAAGGGCCCGAGCCCGAACCGCCATCCCACCGGGCCCGGAACCGGTTCACCGGGCCCGGAACCGGTTCACCGGGCCGGGCCGGGCCCGCACAGTAGCGGGCCGGTCAGGTTCCGGGCCAGTTGGCCCGGCCCGAGTCCACCCCTATTCTGAAGCCCGGTCCGCCCGGTCCGCCCGGTCCGCCCGGTACTGTTTGGGCCCAGCCCAACCTGGTCCAGGTACAAACTTGGGCCAGTACCGGGCCTGAGCTCCTTGAGCCCGAAGCCCACCCAGTCCTGTCTCGAAGCCCGGCCCGGTCCCCGCCCAGGTCCAACCATGTATTCTTAGGATCATCAAAGTAAATAACAAAACCAACATAAAATTATAAGGATGAAAAAACCAAACAAATAACGTACAACCTAAAATAGAAAACACTGTATATGGGAGTGGACTAAAAACATATACTTCGTATAAGCTTCAGATTTCTTTGAGGTTCAGATTTCTTGTTATTGTGTGGCTGCTTTGAGGCTCAGATTTCTTTTGGCTGAAATCCAAGCGTTACACTTGCATCAGCTCTTGAAAGACTGGTAGCATCAATCAGTGAATTCCGCACCACAGGGCTACTTTTGTGAACTTTGCAATAAACAGACCACTTGTGCCAGATATCAACGGATCAAATCGGATAGTTTTGGGTATCCGCCCATCCTTACAGGGCCAGTTTCTGGCACCATCAATCTCAACTAACTCTGCCCATCATCAGAAGCAGAACTTTGTTGGACAAATGATTTGTTTGCAAGGGTGTTTTTGCAAATATAAATGAATTAATCCCACTTTTGACCCACCATCACTAGGACATTCCTGCTTTTGGTCTTTTTTTATCTCGTATGGTCTTTAACTTTAACTTTCATTTTTTCACATTTGGTCCCAATTATAGATCGGTTGTTGCGTACATGACACTTTCCCGGTGAAAATCAAAGTGAAATTAAAGAAACTGGACGGGAGTTGGCAGGATAATTGGAAGGACCATATATGGAAAAATAAAAGTTGGGGGCCAAGAGTAAAAATGACTTTGTGGGATCAAAAGTGAATTTAATTCATTTTTAAAGTTGGCGTGTGTTGTAAGGTGTCTGGATTTGGCTTATTTTGGAGCATTTCTGTACACATGTACAGGGGGGGTTGACTTGGTACAACACTGATTGACAAGAAAGTGTGTACCTGCAGAAGAGTTCTCAGAAAGGAACTTATCCACTACATCTTCATTTTGTGCATCAGTTAAACTGTTTAAGAAAGAACACAAAAAGATGTACTTGTGAGTAATATACTCAAGAATGGGCCAAAAGGCAACTCCATTAGTAGCACAGCGTTACTTAACAAAACCTGCAAGTGCTGTAGACAAGAAATCCTCCAACTTTTAGCAACTTGAACCCATTTGTTAAAAGTTTAAGCTGCGAGAAACCCAATGTGTGAAAAATATAAAACGCATGAGGAAGTATGAGCCCAAAAAGCCACTAATGCGTCATTTGGTAAAGTTTTATGTTTTTGTTCTCACTTTGCTGAAAAAGGAAATTAAGCAGAAGTGTTTTTTTGTTTTTAGATTTCTAGAAAGAAACAAAAAAAAATTGAAAATTATTGAAAATAATTATGACCTCCGTCCCACTCAACTTTGCCAAGTTGACGTTAGGTGGGAAATTAGAATAGTAAAATTTGTGTGGTTGAGGTTTGTGCAGAGGAGAGAGAAATGAACAGAGCCACAAAAACATTGCTTTAAAAGGAAAGTGGCAAAGTTTTTTGGGACAAACAAAAAAAGAAAGTTGGCAAAGTCCAGTGGGACAGAGGGAGTTATTTTTTTCCGTTTTTTCACATACTGTTTATATAACACTTGGAATTTTTATAAAAGCTTATATTTGGTTATATACATCACATAGACCAAACAAAACTGCTTCTTTTAGAATTTGAATATGAAACAAAAAAAATGAATACGGATATTATAATACACAAAACCGGAAACATTACCCAACGAATTCCGAGGAAGCACCTGTCATAAGTAAAGACATTACTACCTCCGTCCCACTAACATTGGGACATGAGGAGGTGGTGTGGTTATTAAGAAAAGTGGGTTTATGTGGTTGATATTGAATTGATAAAGAATAAAGTAAGAATGATTTAGAACCACAAAAAAAATATCAAATTAGGTGTAAGACAATCTTAGTGAGACGAACCGAAAAGGAAAGATGAGACAATCTTAAAAAGGGGTTTTGTTTGGAGGGGTATTAAGCATTGTATAATGGTCGTTTGTTCTTAAAAAGTGGTTTTCCAAACTTGGTCAGCTATCAAGATTCAAGGGAAGGAAAACATATAGCACTTTATGTAAGTTTTCAAAACCTGAAGGATGGGCAGGTCATCAGTCCTTTCTGCATCCAATACACGGCGCTGGAGGGTTGTCCAGCCCCACTGTTCAAATTTTTGGATATGTTTGATCGAACCATCATGGGTGCACTCTGCATCCACAAGAACCTTCCTGACGTAAAGACAAATCAGATAATGGTTACCAAAAGAGAATTGAAATTGCATATATAGAGCCAACTAAATTAATAATGTTGACGGATCTAGAAGATCAGCCCCACAATATTCACTGAAATGGAAAATAAAACCCCAAAACATACTTTTGGATCCCAGAAAATGATAGGAGGGGAGAAATGTCAAGAATAATTATTTTTCTACTTTTGGCTATACCTAGGAAGTTGGCGGGAGATGTAAAATGCTTTTTTTGTACTTACAGAAAGATTTCTCAAATCTTTCTGTAAAACGGGTGTGAAGTTATATCAGGAATACATTTATTACGATTGAGCCCACACATAATTTCTATTTTCTCTCCCTAGTTTAGTTTGCAATACAAATTCGCCCATAGGAACAACAAAGAGGTAAAGTATTACTTTGACAATAGTCACAATACCTTATCATAGCCAAACTCATACACATTACCACAATGCACCCTCTGATACAGTGTATTTCTTGTTAGCCCAACTACCCCAGATTTTTTTCCATAAAATAGAAGCTCTGGTTCTTGAGTTGGTGAAGAAAATTTTGAATATCCATTTTCCCTTGCTAAAGCCTCCCTTCTCCTTTCCTTCCATGGCCTGCGGGATTTCCACTCCTTGTATACTTCTTCAATCCAGAATCAATGTCAGTTGTACAGTAATAGAACAAATATAATGTAATACTCCCCCCCCCCCCCCCATTCCTTCATCTCATAAAAAGAGTCATGTAATTTTCTTTTGATGAGTCCTATTTCATGATTTCATCAAATGTAGCTAGCTTTTCATGTAAATCGCCAATAATTTGCAAGAATGGTTGCAAACAACTAATTGTGATGTATTTAGTTAAATCAACTAAGAAATGAATAAAAAACTTTCACCTTGCGAAAATTTATAACTTAAAAGTAGTACATTTACCAAACAGTAAACACAACTCTTTTTTTTGGGGGGGGGGAGGGGGGGGGGGGTGAGTAACATATCAGTCAGCAATGTTTTTTACCCAATTGATTTTGAGATTCTGAAACCGGTATGGCTTTAACAGGAAGAAGTGAAAATGTGGTTCCATCAGCAACAAATAGACGACAACGATCACCCAATCCATACTTTAGTAGCATGCTTCTACAGGCTGCTAGGCGGTGTTTGGCAATATCTACACCGGACACAGAACCAGAGTTTCCAAGACTATCCAATATCATACATAGTTTAGCACCTAGTAGGGAGACATCAGAATTATAAATGTGACCATTAGGTTTATCAGATACCTAAATACATAATAGTATAATGCAAACCACGCTGCAACGGATCACAATCATCATCATCATTCATCATCATCATTACCCCAATGCCGCAAAGGCTCCCACCTACGGTGGTAAGGGGGGTCGGATGTACGCAGTCTTACCCCTGTACTAAAGCACAAAGAGATTGTTTCCGAATGACCCATAGTGAAAATCGCGTCGAAAATTGCATAGACTAACAGTTACATCATAACAAAGAAGCGCAGACAGTTTAGTGAGCCATTTTGATGCTTTATTCCATCATATTTAGTGAGCCATTTTGATGCTTTATTCCATCATATTCCCAAGCCAAAAAATAGTTAGTCTTTGGTTCCATTGAAAATGACAGAAATGTGAATTACTTAATCGTAAAATATATATTTGCAATTTTACTTTAAAATCTGTACTTAAAGCTGAGGTTAGGGTTGGGCTGAATTAGATTGCAACTTGCAAGTACTAAGGGATTCCTTTAGGATGAGTCCATATCTTCTGTAATACTTTTCCCATTGTATCGTTGTGCCATTCATTCTGATTGGTTTGTTTACATTACTGCATCCATAAAAGAGTGCTGTTTTTAAAGCTATTTATACCAAAAAAAATCTTGTTAGATCAAATAATGATAATTAATTGAAAATTTTGCCAAAGCAGAGTGAAAAACAATGTCTAATATGATGGATTTAGGTAAACCATCAAAAAGATTATAAAGTGGGACAGGCACCCATAACATAGTCCCCCCCCCCCTCCCGCTCTCAAGGAGCTTTCTCTCAAGCATAAAGTTGGGATATGCAAACCAAATTGAGCCGAACAGTTTCACACAGCTTCCTCCACCAATTTGTTATGCCAGTGCACCAATATTTCCAGCCACTCCCGATTCAATCTGCTGTGGCACACTCCATGTCACTTTGGCAGCAACTTTTGTTGACAGAGGACCACGTTGAACTTGCAGCTAAGTCAAACTCATGACTTGAGCTCAAAGGAAAGAATCTCTACCGTCCATGTCAAATTATGCTGCTGTGCTTGGACAAAACAGGTTCATGGTGTGGACAGAATCTCATTCCATTCAAGAAGTTTGTGTTGAACACCTAATTTGGCAGCCCTCTCAGCATAGAAGAGATGAGCCTGGGCGGGTCACACCCATAAAACAGGCGGAAATGGATGTCTTCGCAGGCAATGTGGTTGGATGAGTTGTATCAGTTTTCTCTACCCACATAAGGCTGGAAGCCAACAAAACCATAAGCGCGGATATGGTATGTGATGGAAATAAACTATTATGTTGCGGAACACCCACTCTATGTCGCACTTTCCAGATTGGCAGCTTTTATCAGCTGCTGATCTTCATTATTGCAGGCAACTAAGCTTGCTCCCCCCGAATATCTGCCAATAGGAAGTGGAGATGAATCCTGAATGATGCCACTGCCCACTGAGACAACCACCACATGTCCACATTGCGCCGGGGAGCAAGGCTTGTATTGTATTTAATGCAAAAATTGAGGTGGGCAGGCTTGTACTCAATGTGGGAAATGAACCCCATATTCCCATCAACTTAGTCAACCAGTGTTGCTGTTGGAAGATGATTTCACATTGATCCAATTAGTGCTTCAAACTCAAAAGGACAGTCCAAACCCCAAACTAGACGTCATGCAGCCATAAATATGGTCACCATTGCATGACAGCATTGAGGATACCAATGACCTCGCATCCACATGTCGGCAACTTTACACGGAGATTCACTGTGAAATGGGACAAAAGATGCCTCTGCTGCAACACAGCCCCAAAGCCACTTCCAAATGCTTCACAACCAACAATAAATGGTTTTTAGAAATCCGGAAGCTGAGAACCATCGTGTGGACAAGTAGTGTTTTTATACATTAAATTGGACGTGGCTTTCTTCAGCAATTGGATTCACGACCTGGCTAAACCTTCGAATGAATTTTCAATCGTACCCGGTTAGATAAAAAATGTATGGTCGCCAAAGAGCCTTGCGTTGGCAAATCCATTATAGCATTAATTTTGTTTGGGTCAATGAGTTGCATCACTTGCATGTGCCACTTACTGCGGTCTACGTATATTCGAGTTTCTATATTTGCGGATATTCGAGTTTCTAATAACAGAGCAGTAGGAATAAGTCATACATCTCCTGTTGGTGAAAATCAGAGGATTTTTGTGGCTACTGTCTGGTTGTCTCAGAGGACTCATATGCCACAACTCACAAGTTTCTGAATTATACTCATGAGATTAGAAACTGCTGCCTTTATTGAGGTGAAAGAGGCTTGGATGTCGTCCAAGGCGGAGTGATTGACAACCACTTGGCATTGTGTCATGCTTTCATTGGATGACTTCGTCGTTCCATGATGATGCTATCTGCATCAACCAAGATGTTGATGCCAAATTAATATAAATCGCATAAGAGCTCGTCCAGGATATCTAAGAAGTTCGAAGACAGTCAAAAGACAGGGCTATTACGATGGCGGATTAACTCACGTCTGTCACCCTTGGCAGAGAGGGGGTGATCGGTCTTGTCAGAGACACAACTATCAACACTCTAAAACCGATTTATTGTTCCAAAATAATAACCTTTATATAGCTAATACAAAAGTACTAACTATAAAATAAAACATGGAGTAGAAAAGCTAATACAACTAGGTAATAAAAAACTAGACAAAACTATTGAATAGAGCAAGAAATGATTATCTGGAACCGCAAATCGGTCACAGTTGCCAGTTTTATCCATCTCAAATAAATTAATATGAAATCAACCAACCAGAAGGAGTGGCATACTGTTGAAATCGGAAAAGTGAAACATAAGATTTAAATTTCCAAGACCAAAATAACACACCCCCTAATTATAGAATATTACTCCATACAACATATTGCATGTTTTGTTTTTGTAATTTAGGAGTAATTTTACTTACCTATGGGGCTCTTCTTAATAGCATTTTTGGACACCGTTTGCAAGCTTAAAGCTAAGATAGCTACCACATAATAAAGCTCAATAAGTAAGCTCCATGATGCGGCATCTTGAAACTCAAGATGCATTTCCATGGTTATTATTACAACAAGAAAAAGAACAATTACCAGGAGCAGCACAAAGATCAAGGACATGGTCTCCTGCTGAGATGTCCAAAGCTAACACAGCAGCTCCAGATGCTGCATCAATTCCATATATCTGAATGTTTACGGTAAATCATGTTGGACAACATTCCATTTACACACTTTATAACTAAAAATTCCCTCTTTAGACAAATCAATACTAATATAATGATTTAATACACATTAGCCAGGATATTTGCAGAAGAAATGCCCCCATTGCCCTTAACCATTGTCGATCTAGTGGAAACTATCTTACAGAGCGGAGTACTCACCATTCCATTTTGGTACGCTTTTGAGCTAGCTATTCTAACATCAGGTGCGAGACAATAGAAATTCGGCAACCAAAACACCTTTTCAAGTTTACATCCAATGTCGACTTCAATTGCCTCTACATTAGCCTCATTACCTGGCTTTAATCTTCCAAAACAAAAACCTTGCGTAAGCTATGCCAGACAATACATTGTTCAAAATGTAGAGATTGATATCATCATTCTATTGTATATATACAAAGAAATGTAGAGATTGATATGTGTTTGTGTATAATTTTGTCCAAAATGGAAGGAAGATATCAGTTTTAAAGTCCAAAGCAATGTGGTACGATTCTAAATATGGAGAATCTTTGATGAATAGTGCAATGACAAAAGTGCCAAGTGATACACATACACAAATGTGTGAAACAAATTTTTCATTCTCACAATACACTTTGCGCATGTAATAATGCACATTGCCCGTTCTATCGTTAACGCATTGCACATAAAAATTCCGCATGTTTATGATTCGAAAGTGTAATTGGAACCTATGTCTGTAATATATGCTCATTCAACTTGAATAAAGATTCAACACAAATAGTCCATGTTTGAAGACTGCAACCGAACTAGACTAACCTATACGAAATTCATAAACAGCTTTCCTTGTTTTAAAATCCAAAATGGTATTATGCTCCGGCTAATTCCGTTCACCTGAAGATTTTACTTTCACACGAATTTGTCCAGCTAAGAGTCCTAACTGGATGCTAAGCGTAAAAACTTATTGAAGTAAGGAAGAAACCCGAATTAAGATGCAAATTTAAGAAAACTCAACATTCATTTGTCAAGAATCCTAATAAAAATAGAAAAGCTTTAGCTACACAGAGCTTGAAATTTAAAGACTTCAGTACAGGAACTAAACGAATCCTAGTATCATCATGTTGTTTAAGAATTACATATACACTTATTAGCTTGTCCTATACTTCAAATGTTGGAGTTTGCATAATAATTCTCACAATATAAAGAGGCACACTCAGGCATTTTGTAAGAGAAAAAGGGAACCTAACATAACGAGGTATTGAATCCGAGGAGGCGTAAATCGAAGAGTCTAAGCCATTCTGATTCAGAAAAACGAGAAAGGCTTCCGGCAATGGAACGATTGAGGAGTCGGTCTCTACGTCCATGACCTTTCTGTGCCGGAATTGTCTCCCCAAAGGCCACCTTTAGCAAGCGTCTCTTCGCCGGCGACGACCCGAAACAATTTGTCTCACTGTCCTGCTAGTAACAAATGGGCTATGCTTGACAGTTGTTGGACCCTTTCTTTTGGTCTATTTTACATACTGGGTGGCCTGGGAAAATATCTCTTATTGGGTCCAAAGGCCCCACTACTTGCAGCTTGAGAAATGGGCTATCTTAACTATTGGATCCTTTCCACTTTGGATCATCTTACAAATTGGATCCTTCCTCTCACTGGAACAGAAAAGTGGATGGGGCATTTTCCTAATCTTCTTTTTTATTTCCAAGTCCATTCTCAAAATTTGCCTACTTATCTAAAAAGGGGTTTTATGGTTTTTGTTCTAATAGTCTGAAGTTAATGTAGTTATTTACACTTTACAATTGACCTTCACTATCTTAAATTCAAATTATTTGAGATTTTGACTTCAGCTTCAATTTTTCAGTTTTTGTAAAAACAAATATATCGTTTGTTTAAAAAAGGTATAGATATATAAATTAATAGCAGCGCGATGCAAAAAAGAAACAATTAAAAACAATGAGCAAATATTTCCAAGCTATACATAAAAGAACGAATATATCCTTCAAATTTTTAGAAAATTAAACCCAAAAGTATGTAGTGAAAAATATGGAGTCTTGTCTCAGAATGTTCAAAGTTAAATAACTTTTTATTGTACAATACTTGTATTAAATTAAGGGCTTTTCCTTCAATATCACCAAATTAAACTCATTTTCCAAAAATGTGACCATTTTTCAAAAGGACAAAAAAGTGGCTAACAAGGTCATATATTTGGAAAAACATGATGTCACTGTCATTTTTATGTCACTGTTGGATTTTTATGTCACTTTTACATGTCACTATCAAATTTTTATGTCACTTTTGAATGTCACTTTTACACCACCGCGTTGATACCGCTGCCGTTGTAGTGATACCGCTGCCGCCACAGTGACATCGCGGCCGTTACTGTGACACAGTGACACGAAAACAATGACTTCAATATTCAGTCCGACACAGTGTCACATTGACTGCACTGCGATTGTCCACCCCAAAACCACCACCACCGCACCACCTTCACTGGACCACCAACTACCCCGTAACCCACGTCAGCCCACCTATGACTGCTGCCAACCCATTTCCCCACCGCTGCCCCCTCCCATTACCCATGCCGGTCTGCCCCTGACAATGCCCCACTGGACCAATACCTTCCCCAGCCCTCTCCCTTAAATCCATATTGGAAATTGATAAAATTGACATCACTGTTACCCCAGGCCCTATAGCAACCGCCATCCCGCTCAAGTTCGAAACTGCGAGTAACTTAATCGCCGTGAAAAGGGGGTTCAGATCTGGATAAACGATGGAAACTTTGGAGCTCCAAATATCTTTATCTCCAATCAAGAATCAGAGCGGCGTGAGTTAGCGTAGTAGAAGAAATGGATAGATGAAGAGATACAGAAGAAGCAGTAGCACAATCGTCACCGGAAGTCGTGTCCTCGTCGTCTTCATGGAAGCCCAAATGATGTCGTTGGAGTCCTGCGGTCGTCGCCGCCGAAGTCTGTCCGCCATGTGGCAGCACGGAAAGAAGGTGGCGGTGCGGTGTGGTGTGTGATGGGGCAATGTGGTGAAGATGCAGACGGAAGATGAGGTGAGAACCGTGAGATGGAGATGGAGATGAGACGCCCAGGAGAAGGAAGCGTCCCAAACTTTTCAAAAAATAAATAAATCATATATTTGGAAAAGTAAAAAGAAAGTCATATTTTGGTCATTGAAAAGCCGAGCGGTTATATCCACGCCATTCTTTCTTAAATTAACAGGAATGTGATTACTAGGAACAAATAAAATTTGAAATAATACGACGTATAGGGTATGCTTGGCACAACTAGCTGAAAATATACTTTTATATGTTTATTAATAACTGTTAGCTTGTAGTGGCTAAAAAGATCTTAAAATAAAAAGGTGGTGGCTGTTTGATAAAACACTAATTGTTTGATTTAATTCGGTTTGGCATACAAGCTATTAGGATTAGTTAAAGCTAAAAGTTGCAGACTTTTCTCAAATGCTACTCATTGTAGCGTCTCAAAAAAATCTTTTGTTTTTCAAAAAGATCTTAAAAATTAGTATGTCAAACATTCAATTAAAAGCTTTTACTTTCTTTTTAAATAATACAAAGGCTATGTTTTGCATGACACTTCAGCCCATTATGAGCTGATTTTTTTTCAATTCAGCCATTAATTGAAAAAGTAGACCTGTTTGGAGACAAGGCTACATGAAGCTGAAATGGAAAAATAAGGTCTGAATTAAAACGTTAGCCAAGGGAGCGTTTCTATTCAGTCGGCTGATTTTAGATCTTCTGTTCCTAAATTATCCTTGTTCTTCTCTGATTTGTTTATCGCACGTATCACCTCCCCGATCCACTTCAGATTTATTAGCTTGCTTTCCAGTTTCCACAATACCCTAATCCCATCTTCTCTATGGTCCGTTAATTTTCTCAGTCTTATCAGGGATCGTTTCGTGCGCTGATCCATCTAGGTAGGTAAGGTATGGATTTTATCTCGAGGTTCTATAAGGTTGAATTGTTGAAACGTAAGGTTGGATTATTTTATAAAATTATAGTCAAAAAGTAGGAATATCATTATACGTAATACTCCATAGTTTTTTTCTTAGTATGGAATTTTATTACTTATTAAAATATAAAAATTATTATAATAAAAAAATATCAAATGAATAATTATTATGTCCTTTAATGTAATTTTGTATTATCGAGACATCTGTGAAGCTATTTTCTCCAAACAAGACTACTTCATTCAACTCATAGTTTCGATTCATCACTTCAAAATTCAGCTTCAGACAATAGCTTTAATTCAGACTATAGCTCTTAATTCAGACATTAGTCTCTAGCTTCAACTCGTTTTGCCAAGCATAGCTAAAAGCTAGAGGATAGAGACTTATCTCAGATTCTACTTACTGTAGCATCTCAAAAAAGATCTTTTATTTTTCAAAAAGCTTTTAAAATGGGTGTGTATGTATGCCTAGCTACCAAGGCTATGTTTGGCATGCCATTTCAGCTAAAAAAAAGGCTGAAATTTCTTGAATCTAGCTCATTATCCTAAAATTAGCATTGTTTGGATAGTTAGCTTAGCTAAGCTTAAGCTGGAAGAAATGGTCTGAACCTACACGCTACGGAATGTAGCGTTTCTGTCTAGTCTATTGTTTAATATCCGGTCCATACCAAAATTATCCTTTCCTGCGAGTATGTTACTCTTCCCGAAAAAATGGCTCACAACCCACATGCCACAAAGATGCTCCGCCTCTTCTCTTCTATATTCTTCTTTCACATTTTTTCTGCCACCATATTGTTGGGTGTGTTTCGGAAAATAAAGAAAATTAATTAAAATAAATTAATTAAATAAAATGACTAGAGAAAAACAAGAAAGGAGATGAAGCAAAATTAGTCAAAGCTCGTGCTACGCACGATGTTCTTAAAGCGTATTTGTTTCCTCACTCAGTGCTAGGAGCGTTGCAACAATCGTTTCCCAGGATACGATGACTACGAACTAGTGTTTGAGCACACAAACAAGAGTTCCAACGAACAAGAACCAAGTATGAACACAGAAGGAATTTGTAGAGTAGCTGTAGGTGTTTTTAGCTTAAGAAATTCGTGAGGAATGTATTGTGCGTTGTGTTGTTGCAAACCACCTGGCAGCTATTTATAGGAGGATTTGTTGTGTGTTAAATGGGGTGTTAATGGACCTGAACGTTGGACATCAATGACCAGTCCGTTGGGCATTAACTTTCGTAACGGTATCTCTGAGGGGTTCTGGTCGAGGCCTTATGTCCGGAGCACTTCTGGGAAAAAATAAACGTTTCGGGAAGAAAACAAAAATTAACCGTATATCTTGAGAGATACGTTTTTTGGACGACATTCGTGTCCGCAGGTCGCCCGTGCACACGAGTCGCGGTTTTTCTTCTCCGTTTCGGGATTTGACCGACACCCCCCCTGCGCGTAAGAGAGAGCCTTTCCCTTTAGGAATCTTAACTCCTTAAAAGAGGCTTCCCTTTATAAGGGGGTGAAAATCCCTTGAGTTTTCCGATGTGGGATAAAACACACTAGAAACTCATCATTTTTCCAGTTTTTCCATTTCAACGAGTGAACTTCGAGAATCAATTTCTCATTCACCCGTTATCCGTTTTGAGTGTACCATATATCGAATTGTAGCCCTTAACAAGGAAAATCCGAAACCACTTTGACCTGACCCAAATCGGAAGTGGACCCCACTCAAATAATTGCCCCAAAATGACCCTTTAATGCAATTTTTAACACATTTTTCCAACACATATTTCTCAATTCTTCTTAATTAGCCTTTTTTCTCATATTTTAGTTTTTACCTTGATTATAAACCCCACTCAAAATCCACGAAGAACTTGGTTCATCTATTCCCTCTCTTTTGCCTTTATGAATTGGGTATCCGATCTTCTCTATCTTGGTGATTATGGCCACAAAGATTTTTCTTTTGAGTGTTTACAAAGAAGATGTTTATGAACATGGTTGGGTTTACAAAGAACATGGTTGGGTTTAATTTCCAAAGTTGTCTATTGGGGCAATTAGATACACATTCTATCGTCTTAATACTTATGAAAATATAATTTTATAATTATTCTCTTTTAAAAAATGTTATGTCCTCTAATGTAATTTCATATTTTTGGTCATCCTTTCAGCTCTTTTTGCCACACGCGTCTATTTTAATCAGCCAACAATTCAGATTCAGCACTTCAAAATTCAGTTCCAGACAATAGTCTACGTTTCAGACAATAGTCATTATTTCAGACATTAGCCTCCAGTATCAACTCGTTGTGTCAAACATAGCTCAAACATGATCATAGCATTACTTGGACTGTTTTCAATCTCAGACCAAACTTAAACAGGGCAGATCAGATCAATTGTAATTCAGATTAGATTAGATCAGACCTGGATTGTATAGTTATAAAATACATAAATATTAAACATTTATCAAAACAGAGTAAACCAAATCAAGAATTAAACAACCCAAATCAGATAAACAAATTCGAGTCCAAGTAAAAAAGATGCAAACACAAATGGTCGTAGGTGTTAATGATATTATGATACATGGGGTGATGGCTGCACGCAAGAAATTGGGCACGATAATGAAGTGGAGTCGCAACATATTTTGGGTGGTGCATCCTTTTGAGTATAAGCGACCATCTCCTCCTGCTACTGGTCAATTTTAGAGAGTACGTACGATGACCCTACGGATTTTCACTAGGGTTGGGATTTTGGAATCGGGAACCGTTAAATCGGTTGGAACCGAACCGTTATAACCCGGTTCGGTTCGGTTCCTACAAATGAGATATTAATTGTTAACGGTTCGGTTCCTAGTTGTTGTTAACGGTTCGGTTCCTGGTTCCTATAAAAAATATATGCACGAAACCGTTAAGGAACCGATATTAAAAATATAAAAATAAAAATAAAAAATAAAAATAATAGTAGTAGTATTAGTAGTAATACTAATATAACAAAAATAAACACAACAACAATAATAATAAATGAATGATATTTAGCCAATAATTTTAATTTAGTTTAATCTATAAAAACAAAAATAATAAATATTTGCACATGAGGTTGAATACATTAAGCTCATTTTTACAAATCAAGTTTTGTTCCATCAATAGGATGTACATGCAAACTCAATGTATTTCTAGGTTTTGAGAAGCATAAAGTGTGCGTCCTATCCTTGCCACTATAATGATGAGCAACCTTCATTTCAACGACATAACAAACGATTTTTATATTTTATGTATTAAATGAAAATTAAAATCTTCTTTTTATTCTATTAAGTGTTCACTTAAGTCCGAACTTTGATGTTTGGAGTGATTAGAACTCTAAATAAATGTTTATGCCTTGTTTTAACTTTTTGACGTTTTCATGTGGTATAAGCTAAACTATGTGTTAATTCTTACACGAAAAAAATTATTCTAGGAACCGATAAAAGCAAGAACCGAACCGTTTAGTATTGGTTCGGTTTCATATCGGTTCTTGATTTTTTATATAGGAATCGAACCGATTTCATTTGTTAAAATTTAAATAACGGTTCCACTATTTTTGAGTAAGAACCGAACCGGTCCCAGACCTAATTTTCACACATGCACGCCCATGGTCTTAACAATTTTCAGGCATGCCTCACAATCACATTGCGCTAATTAATTCTAAGCATGTATTCCCATAGTACCATTAGCAATTAGTTTCATTCCTGAAATTCTGGTTAAAACAATTGAATTGACTAAATCTACTGGATTGGATTATGAAAAATTATATTTTAAATATATTTTGTTGATAAAATAAAGAAGTAACTTCAACCAATTCAAGCACGCAGTAACCTCATCCTTACTTATTTTGATGAGCCAAAATATTATTATTGGAAAATATTCCCATTTGTGTCGGTAATATTGACATATTAAAGCCTAGTAAGATCGTTTGTAGTGATGTAGGATAGGAGTCAAAAGATTAAAAATGAAGATTTTTAATTTTTGTAGTGGAGGAGTAAAAAGGGGATCAAAAGTGGGAAAGTAGGAGAAGGTGTAAAAATAGAGGGTTGGATTGACGAACAAAAAAGGAAAAAAAGAAAAGAAAAGAGAAGGGGCAGCACACTGCATTAAGATCATGCATTCGACTGACATAATCTTGATGTCACACATACATCATCAAATTGTTTTAAACTATTATAACTTTTTTATTTGGGGTTCTCCATTTTTTTCCAAAAAGTATATCAAATTTATGAAATTTTATGATCTTTAATATGACACAAATATGTAACATATAAAACGGGAAAAAAAAATCTGAAATTTTTATTGTTGAAGTTTTCTTGAACCCAAATAAACACAAAACACAAATTTTTTATTCATGGATCCTTCACAAATAACTGAATATTCTATAATCGAACTTTACTTGAACTAAATTCATTTTTTGTTAACAAAAATAATTAAACAAATTAATGAAGTTTATTTATTTTTACATCGAAATGAGTATTTTTTATTTTAAAATTATTTAAGGGAAAATTAAAAGGAAAACATTACTTCTAATCACTTAATTAATGTTTTACTTAAAAAAATATGCTAAGTGCATTTTATTGATGTGGGCGGGATGCAGGAAACACTGTTTTCAAATTGGCGGAGTCCATTTTTATGATTTTGGCCTCTCCTCATGTCCTCCACTCCAAATGGTCTAATGTCAAAATATGACAGTAAAATTTCATGTAGTTCGTTACTCATATTTAGAGAAACAATATTACTTTTTCTTTTAATTTTTTACATTGTTTTTAATACTATTTCAGAAATTTTTTTATATGAAAAGTGATTCTCAATAAAGCTGGTAGTGTTTGAATAAAAATAAAGAAAATTTTAAATATTCAGTGAAAACCATTTTTTGCACTAAAGTCAAAATCATTTTAAGTCCACCCCTCCTTATATCTTTTAAATCTAAAAAACTAAACTAAGTAGAATCATTTACTTTTGAAAACGCTATTTTTGTTTTCTTTAATCAAAAGCTAAATAATGGTAAATTTGGTGATAATATTTTTAAATTATCGCAAACCCTCTTTTACATTCACTAATTTCGCCCATTACAAATAAAATCTGAACCTCGAAAACAATATAGAGTTAGTACCCACAAGCTTTGACGCAAATCACTTCGCACAAACTTGTATGCTTTTCAATCAAACTGTATTAGACATCACATTTGGGTGACATGAATGGTATATTTGAGGCTGGATGCATACCAGTGATTAACACCTCACAAACCATTCATCACTTGTTATACCTGAGTTTGAGCAGGAAGAATTCTGAACTGCTCGAAGTCAATCTACTAATAAAAGTCAAACTCAAAATTGACACAACAAGAGTACAAAAAAACTCAAAACTCTACTTGGAAAGCTTGGAGACTAAAAAATTAAAATATTTACATTGTGATTGTGCCTACTTTTAGTACAACTAGAGACAAGGTAACTTCATTAGTTTTTCAATTTATTAGGGAGTATTAAGATCATCAAGCTATGCAAAAACAAGCTCATAATTAAACTCGACTAGAAAAAAAATAAGAATAACTTAAATTCGAGTTAAGCATTTCACGAGTCTAAAATCTAAATACACTTGAATATTTCACACTAAGCAAGCTCTTTACATAAAAAAGATGACACTTCATCCGTGAGGGTCTCGGAACCGACCAGGCGTATGATTATCTAAGTGAATGTAGTTGAGTTTTGATCATACACGTGCAAGAGAATGTGCTTCCACTCCAAATTCTTGCTTGGAGCTGATCACGAGACTTCTCCCTTGTTATAAGCCTCGTAAGGAGGCTCTTTACATAATTAGACATTTAGACCACCAACCTTATAAATCTTCTGTCGTTATCTGTAGCTTCAGCTTCAAGTTATTGCTCACCTCCTCCAAAACCAACATGCAGTACTACGGTAGTACATACGTGATTTGTTATTGCTCAATTACTGAGAATAACAACAATGATGTCCAGAAAGGCAACTCTGTGCTTTGAATCATCACCACCACCACCACAAAATTCTGATTAGCATTCCCAGAAAAGAATTTCCAATAACATGTTTGGTTTTGGAAGCTTTTGCACCAGAAAGCAGTCTCCTACTAGCAGAAAGAATATCCACCGAGATGTTGAAGATCAAGAAGAAAAGTTTCAATACGCAAGTACCCTTTGCTGGTCTTCATATTACAGCGTTTTCGTTGTTCGTCTGGCTATCATGGTAAGTCTCATTGTCTCGTCCCTTCTGTAGTTCTGTATTACGCGTTAATCCATTTCAAACCCGTCATGTATAAACATACAAATCAACATATAAAACATCAAATTACAACTTCTATGATCTATCACTTTGCCAACCAAGTTTTGAATCTCTGATACAATATCATAACAAATTCAACTAAACGAGCAATTAGATGCATGTAAACTGTAAAGAGCATACAAACTACAACATTGAATCTCAAGCAAATCATCATCTAGGACATGGAACCCCGAGTTTCAACAGTACTCGAGTTTTCTTGCTCCCAAAAACTGCATGCTGAAATGTGTGAATGAAGCTAATTTTCTTAAAAATTGGATTTCATGCAGGTGATGTTAGCAATATTGATTGGATTGTTGACCTTACTGACATGGCATTTTACCAGAGTATACACAAAAAGATCACTCAACACTCTGGCATTCGGTCTTCGCCATGAGCTTCTCCAGAGGCCCATCCTAAGAATGTGGAGCATCCTTAATTCCACGGTCGAAATTGCAACTGCTCAGGTTAAGATGTCGGAGTTTGTTTTCCGGCGTTATAGCAGCGTCGCCGTAACCCAACCCCAGCAACTCGAGCTGTACGCAGCCATGAGGGAAGTGACTTGGGCCCTCTTTGCTAGCCGGAAGGCTCTCAGTTCCATCACAATCAACTACAGAAACGGCTTCGTCCAGGCATTTCACAGGGACCACCGGAGCAACGGCACCTTCTACATATTCTCCGATCTCGCCAACTACTCAATAAGCGGGACCTACGATGACGCAAGCGCGTCGCCGTCGTCGCGGCAGGGGTGGGACGACCGGTCAATCCGCAGCAACACGTCAGCGGTCTGGTACAGGGAGCCGCTGGATCCCGTGACCGGCGTCGGAATAGGGAGGCAGGGGCAGATCCCGCCGGACGAGCTGATCAACATCGCCGGGATCTCTCAGGTTCCCGACGGTGCCGCCACGTGGCACGTCGCCGTCAGCAAGTACTCCGAATCCCCCCTTCTCTCCGCCGCGCTACCCGTCTGGAGTCCGTCGAACGAAAGCATAGTCGCCGTCGTGGGGGTCACGACGGCTCTGTACAGCGTCGGCCAATTGATGAGAGAAATCGTTGAGTTCCATAGTGGGCATATATATCTGACCTCACAAGAGGGATGGTTAATTGCTACTTCCACAAATACCCCTCTCTGGGTGAACTCATCAACCAGGCCAAAGCTGATCATGGCTGTAGAGTCAGAGGACCCAGTGATACAAGCTGGGGCCCATTGCTTGCAGAAAGAGTATGGCAACAATATCCCACCTGGTCAAGAAGTCCATATTGACAATGCAAAGCTTGGGAATCAACCTTACTACATTGACTCTTTTTTCCTCAACTTAAAGAGACTTCCCATGGTAAATTCTCAATCTATGCACTTAATTACAGTTTTTTAGAGACTTGCAAATTGACGAAATTCTAGCTGAAATGGATGAATTCGTTGAATATAATTAAGAAGATGTATATGAAACACAACTAAAATGACCATTTACGTTAAGTTCAGTCAATTCAGGCAGGAAATTAACCCTAACCTTGCGTTTTTTAGTATTAAACAATTCAACGGGTGGAACCAAAAGTTACGCATTTGATAAAAATTGTCTTTAACTGAAAATAGTGGTTCTAAAAGGGGCTCCAAATCTTTTTTTTTCTTTTACTTTCTTTTCTTCTTAATAAAAACAAGAACTTTAAGAGAAAATTGTTTACAGGTGGGAGTTATACTAATTCCAAGGAAATATATAATGGGGAAGATTGATGAGAGGGCATTCAAAACTTTGGTGATACTGATATCTGCATCTGTATGCATTCTGATCACCGGATGTGTGTGCATCTTCATATTGACCAACGGTGTTTCGAAGGAGATGAAACTAAGGGCAGAGTTGATATCCCACTTGGATGCAAGAAGGAAGGCAGAGGCATCAAGCAACTACAAAAGCCAGTTTTTAGCAAACATGAGGTAAGCAACTAAGCACTATAAGCACTAAGCATGCATGATGCAACAAGATAAAAGTCATTTATTTATAGAATGGCTGCTTGCTCATGTTTCCTGGTGGACCACATGAAAGGGAACATGGAGAAGTCTTATGTAGGCAGTGTTCCTATTATTACTACTAGGTATTATATTATTATTAGTTTTATTTAATTAATACTCCGTATTAGTATCAGTTACCTAGACACTAAGTTATAGTATTAAAATTATTAGTTATAGTTTCCTTTAAGTATTTATAAATAAATCGATGGATCCTTCGATTTCAAGGTCCGAGAAAGAATATGATTATGAAAAGGATATATCATTATTTTCAAACTCTAGATTGTACATTGATCACCACATCCAAACATAGTTTATGATAACTATAAGAATTGATTGCTTCTTATCATGTACCATGGGCGCTCTTGAGATAAACCCCAAGTAATATCAATTTTATGGATCCTTTTCCCATTATTGAACTGTTTGTATGCCTGAGAAACACTGAAGCTTACAATTACTAAATAGTCATTGTTTATAGCTAGTCTACTCATAAGTGGTTTATAACATGTTATTCTAGCTTCTTCTGACATCAAGACTTCTTTGGTACTCTTGCGTCTCTTTTTTATCACTACTATTAATGAACTTTTTGCATATAGAAGTAAAAGTGTAAAACAAGGTTGTGCGCACAAATAAGAGTTTTTTTTATGTATCCTAAAAATAGACATTATGTAGTTGTGAAAATGGGGAGTAACTCTTAATAGTTCTCTAAGGAATTAATAAGTCATATTTTCAGAGAAAAGAACAGGAGTTACTTGAGGAATTTTCCCCTTAATAATTATTTAGATGTTTTCTGCAGTTTCTTCATGTTCTTTTTGTTCTGTATTGACAGTCATGAATTACGAACACCCATGGCTGCAGTAATTGGCTTGCTGGACATTCTTATATGCGACGATTGCCTCACGAATGAGCAATATTCCACTGTCACTCAGATACGCAAATGTTCAACTGCTTTACTTAGGCTACTCAACAACATTTTGGATCTCAGTAAGGTGAGATTCAGAAGTTGGTCACCCAATGCTTAGCTATCCAGTTACAAAGTTCATAAATAAATACATTCACTGGTTCCTGAAACAGGTAGAATCTGGAAAGTTGGTTCTAGAAGAGAGTGAGTTTGATTTGAGTCGAGAACTGGAAGGTCTTGTAGATATGTTCTCTGTCCAATGCATCAACCACAATGTGGAAACTGTTTTAGATCTCTCAGGTATGGTTAATGTTTGACTTCTGCAATACTATTCGTTTATTAATTCTAACTATTTGTTATACTTCCATTTTCTCAGATGATATGCCAAAATTAGTTAAAGGAGATTCCGGCAGAGTTGTTCAAATATTTGCAAACCTGCTAAGCAACTCGTTGAAGTTCACGACATGTGAGTTAGCTCTGTCACTGATAACCATTAGTTTTCTGATACTTTGCCTTTATATATGAATACTACCAGAAATAATGACAAGTATATGACAAAAAAATTGTAGACAAAAAAGTGACTTTTAATATGCAGTGACCATAGTTGTATTTTATCAGTGCTGTAATGAATTGAATTCTTCTACTTTACCATGAATTGAGTTCTTCACTATCCCTGTCTCGAAAAAAGATATGTTTCTAATACTAAAATGTTTTGCAAATCAAGATTTTTTTTTGAACTGTGGGAATCCGTGGGGCTATTATGATTCTGATTAATGGAGAGAGCATATTATATTTGTTTGAAAGTCTTGAATGTGTTGCAGCTGGCCATATTGTTCTTCGAGGATGGTGTGAAAATCCAAATAGTGTCACAAGTTGGAGGAAGTTTTCTGTCAACCTGAAGGAATCTTGGTCCACTCCTAAAATAAAGTTGAACCACCACAGTGGTCATGCTAGAAAACCTTCCCAGAAAGATAATAGCAAAATGGTCTTTTGGTTTGAAGTTGATGACACTGGTTGTGGTATGAATCTCAAACTGCTAAAAAACTACAAGCAGTTCATTTAGGGTCCGTTTTAACCCCATAAATTGCTAGGGAAATTAAATGTGAAAGAAAACATACAGAGGAAATACTATTGGAAGGAAAGAAAATATGAAGGAAATAAATGATTAACTAAAATATTTGTTCATATCTATTTTATTTATTTTTCCCTCTTTATAGCATTTTCCAAGATCTAAACATACCTTAAGCATATTTCAGTACTTCAATTTTCCCATTCTATTCTCCAGGAATTGATCCCAGCAAATGGGAATCTGTGTTTGAAAGCTTCGAGCAGGCTGATCCCTCCACTACAAGATTGTAAGCAGTATAATGTGTGTGTGTGTAAATAAATTGAGGCCTAATACACAACTTTTTAGCTGATCATCACATTACATTTTTAGCAGTCATGGATTAATGGATCTAATCTCAATGTATTCTTCATGCAGGCATGGTGGAACTGGTCTTGGCTTGTGCATAGTGCGTTCCTTGGTAAGTTGTAACGCTCAAATGATTTCGGCAATGAATTTGTCTAAAAACAAAAAGACCAAATAAGAGTAAATCAAACTTAACGTGATCTTCTAAAAGAGTAGAACACGTAAGTTTGTGCAATGAAAGAGAGAATGTGCAAATGATCTTTAGAACAAACTGTCTTGCACATACATGTCCCTCTATAGTAGATTAGTACTACTTTATCTAATGATTAGAAGATTTTAACTACAGGTGAACAAAATGGGTGGTGAGATCAAAGTTGTGAATAAAAGTGGAGGAGGCACTCTCATGCAGCTTTGCCTCCTGCTAGACACTCCTATAGATGGCACAGGACAATATTGCCATTTGAATCTGAGAGAGCAGAAAATGACTGTAAGTACTATGGTTTTACATTCATTGACAAACAAAAAACATGGGTGGTTTAGTGGTGAGATATCTTATAGGAGGACTCCGTATACGTGAGTCAACATGCCCTCAAATGCTTGTTTGTTTGAGCAAACCAATTTTGAAATTTGTGTGCTCTTATTTAGATTTAGGTAAACAAAAAATATGGGTGGTTTAATGGTGAGATATCTTATAGGAGGATTCCGTATTGACTTATTTGAGCTTCATTTGTTTTTAATGCCATGATTTCATTCTAAAAGATTAGTGTGGTATCTTTATATTTAACTGGTACAGGATGACATAACATATTTAGCATTCAGCTGCTCATGAGTATGATTCCAAGTGCGAACAAGATAATGTTCACTAGCTTTCACAAGAGTCTTATGTAACCCCTTCACCCATGCACCTATTTTCTCAAAAGTTTGCTTTGGGCAAATGTCATTTGGATGAAATGGTTGACAGGTCTAGTTTTCTGAAACGGAATGCGACTTGTCACATTAACTTCAACCAAATAAGAAGAATAAGCCAGAAGTAACTACTAAATGGAACCTTAGACCTTCCCTTGTCTCCCCCAAAAGAAAGCTAATGTTTGTTACCCGAATGAATGCAGGTGTTACTTGCACTAAATGGTGCAATAGGAAGGGTAATAGTATCCCAGTGGTTAGAGAAGAGGGGAGTCCAAACTTTTGAAACATCTAACTGGAATGAATTGACACAAATGCTTCAGGGGCTTTCTAAAACCAAGACCAGCTTAGCATGCGGCTCGGGATTTGAGTGCCTGGCAGCTGATGAAGGAAATAACTCACTTTTTGCCATAGTTATTGATATCGGCCTGCTTGACCTGACCACAAACATATGGAAGGACCAGCTTGGTTTTCTTGAGAAATACAGTGGGAAAGCAAAGTTTGCATGGATTCTTTACCACGATACTTCCAGTACAATCAAATCTGAGCTTCATAGAAGAGGGCACCTTTTGATGGTAAACAGACCGCTATACAAGGGGAAGATGGTTCAGATTTTGGAAGCCATAATGAAAGACAAGAAACCTGAACTGCAATCTTACATCACCAACCCAGATGAATTTCATAAATCAAAAAGTGGGAACGGTAAAACTCTCACAGAGACGAATTTTGAAGACAGTAGATTAGTAGAGTTAAGCAACATTAGCTCGAGAAAGGAAACAAATCAGCAAAAACCTCTGGAGGGCCTAAGAATACTACTTGCTGAAGACACGCCAGTGCTTCAGAAAGTTGCCACCGTAATGCTGGAAAAACTGGGAGCAAAGGTTGTGGTTGCAGGGGATGGGCAGCAAGCAGTGGATGCTCTCAAGTCAGTGGTAAACTCAAAAGATTGCAGACCCGAGGAAGGATCACGTTCCCCTGGTTTTGACTTGATTTTGATGGATTGTCAAGTAAGTGAAACTATGATTATTGATTTATTGCATATACATGTTGGTGATTTTCCTTGCATCCACAAAGGAATACTCACATTTGATTAAAAAAATAACACACAATTAGATATCTTAGTCTTTATACGATAGAATGTTGTTGGCATTTTAGTAGTGAAATGATTATTACGAGTAGATTATTAATGAGGTAAAGATGATGTTATGGATTTAGATGCCAAAGATGGATGGGTATGAAGCAACAAAAGCTATTAGAAGATCAGAGTTGGGGAAAACTGCACACATACCTATAGTGGCAGTGACCGCCCATGCCATGTCATCAGATGAAGCAAAATGTTTGGAGGTGGGAATGGATGCTTATTTAACTAAACCCATTGACAGCAAGCTCATGGTTTCCACCATCCTCTCCTTAACCAAGAAGAGTTAATATATGGTTCATGTTAGTCGAGTTAGATTATGATGGATGCTTGGGGTTCATTCTTAATAATAAATAGAGGAGTTCAAAACAGCTATGGGTAATAAGCTAGAAATCAAAACATTACGAAAATGAGCGTGTAATGTTTCATGTTTGGAATACTGTCCTTGTAGTTAAATTTATATAATCTACTTGTGTAATTCAACGTTTCGTTGTGGTGAAGTTGATATGTTGCATCATAATAAAAGTTCAAACTTACGGGCATAATAGATATTGTATAATTGCTGAAAATATGAATGAATCGCATAATGTCCTGCAATTGGTGAAGATAGATGTAGAAAACCATGCACATAGCAGTGTATTAGGGGAAAACTAAAACACAAGTAATGTTTTACACTAGAGCTGCACAACTTTTTTTTTAATGTAAACTTTTTCCTTTTAGCCTACTTCAATATGTTCTTGAGTCTAGTCCAATGTCTTTAGTCCATCTCAAGTTCTCAACACAAACTCATATATTCATCTTCAGTCTAGCCTACTTCATGTGAATGAGAAATTATGTTCTAGGATTTACAAGCTCCAAAAGGAGTATATATAGAGAAATCCGGGTCTGGGCTTCTAATATGGGCCTGACAGACCCGGTTACATAAAAGGCTAATCTAGAACACCGAATAATGATAATGTACAATAATGTAAATGCTATTTACTGAGCGTACGTGGGTCGCTGTTCGGGCCCAATAGTAATGAGACCGGGGGCCCGAGTCCATATACTCTATCAGCAGTCCTCCACTCCATGAGGCGAGAGTATTCGAGGTGAAAGGGACTAGAGCTATGTGCTGATCTGTCGTCGTATGGTGAGTAAACTTCGTAAAAAAAATTGAATTTGTGCTTCTTCAATTAAATGAGGCGCTAAGTCCCCCGCTCTTCTAGTCTCCCACTCCTTGAGACACGTGTAATGAGGTGAAAAGAAGTAGAACAATGCATGTCTTCAATAGGGGGCCGAGGGTCGACGCCTTTTGTCCACGTTGGGGAGATGACTCGTTAAAAACCTCACTAGGAAAAAACCTTGTGGGAAAAAATCTTAATGAGGAAAAAAGAGTACACCGGATGCCCCCAAAATGAAGCAAACGGTGTGAGCCCTTCGGCCTAGGTGTGGGGCTGCAACGGTGTCTGTCTCTAGATGTGAGTAGCTCGGCATGATAACTAATCTCAATCATCAAATAAAGATGACTAAAAGATAGGTCGAGTGACCGTCCATAATATGATGTCTAGGCCATCAAATAAAGATGACCAGGATATGTGGCCGAGAGACCTATATGAAGTCCAAGTCATCAAATAAAGATGACCAGGAGAGACGGCTAAAAGGTCGGTATGATGTCATCATTTAGTTGCACCTATGCATTCAAATAAAATTGTTATAATTTCTTGAGCTTATAATTCGCTATTGGATTTGGACCTACATTAAGTGGCCTCAAATTTCCAATCTAGGGCTCAAGCTAGATTTCTATGCTTAGTTGAGTGTGGCACATGTAAAGGACTAAACCTACATCCATCGGGGGATCGCAGTTCGAATCCGATAGTTAAAGGCACACATAACGCATACACAACATAGAAACTAAAGTATGCATTTGATAACATTTGGATTGGGAGCTTACTATCCACACTCGTTTGACATAACCCGGTGGCGCGAGTGTGTGTGCTCGCCCAGTGTACGCGAGTGCTCGGAATTCATAAGTCCATTTTTTCAATGTCAAAAAATACACACTATTAAAAAAATAATAATAATAAATTAATAATCTAGCTCAACTCGTCACTCAAATTCGTAGCTGGGATCCGCCAGACATGCGCATTTAAGAGTCTTTTAACAGATTGACTCGATCCTCGAGATTGAAGTTTGATGCTATATAATTAAAATATTTTTTTTTGTTTTGTAATTTTCGTTATCAAAATTATTGCTGAAAATTAATAAATGGAAGGAGTTTTGGAACACTTAGTTTTGGTATTGGGTGAACTCCAAACGTGTTGTTGAAATTGTGACCCAATATCAATGATGAGAGTCAAATTTGGGTTTGGAGTAGTCTTGGCGCAAGAATTAAGCCCTCTAGCAGTAGTGGCGTATGGCCGGTTGAGAGCTAGCATTCTCAACACCATACGCCAAGCTTCTGGTTGACAGAAGCTCAAGAGAGAGAGGTTCCTTAAGCCATCGCCGCTGCATGACAGATTGACAAGAGGGTTGTGTGGTCGCAGTTGCCGTCCCTAAGACTGAGAATAGTCGGCGTCACTGGTGGAGAGCCGGAGAGGAAGGGAGGTTCCGGTCACGGTCATCGTCGGACAGCCAGACAGGGGGGAGAGTACCCTCGATGCCCATTGCTGCCCTGCGAAGTTCCTGGGTTCGCCGTCATCGGAGGGGGTGAGGAGAGGACCGTCGGAACTACTATTGCTCGGTTCACTCCGGCGGGGTCTGCAGATTCAAGTCGTGTCTTCCGGCCGGAGGTACGCCTTGTTCCTCTAGGAGCATTGAAGCAGCCATTAATAGCGGTACTGAGGTTGAGCTCCAACAACCGACGGAAATACAGAGGCAAAGCGAGGTGGGAGGCGTTGAGACAGAGCCGGCGAACCCAAGCTGATAGCATCCAAGGATGGTGATTCTCCAGCTCAGCGGATCAGATATTGGAGCAGTGGGGCTCTCTGGTGCACAGCGGCAATCGAGACGGCTATAACATCACCGACTAAGGCTAATTTCCAGCTTGTTTTGGGGTGGTTTTTTTCGAGATTGTCATGACTTTTTGTATTTTGGGAGAGGAATCTGACTTGATTTTTGCTCAAGCTCTCAATGAAAGTGCGTGATGAATTATAGGGATGCAAACATATACTCTCTTCGTCTCGAAGGGAGTCCAAATTTCCTTTTTTAGATGTCCGAAAAAGATTTGCCATTTCCATTTAAATTAAGGAATATGTGGCTAAAATTAATTCTCTCTCCTCTGCACAAATTTCAACCACACAGTTTTTATTTTATTAATCCACGTGAAAGTCAACCTTGATCAACCTTTTTCGGACGGCGGGAGTATAATTAGGAGAGATTGTGCTAAAGAGAGGGAAGAAGATGAATGAATAGTAGAGTGTGAATGAGAACTTATGTTCCAGGGTTTACAAGCTCTAAAAGGAGTATATATAGAGAAATCTGGGTCTGGGCTTCTAATATGGCCCTGACAGACCCAATTACATAAAAGGCTAATCTAGAACACCCGAATAATGATAATGTACAATAATGTAAATGCTATCTACTGAGCGTACGTGGGCCGCTGTCCGGGTCCAATATTAATGAGACCGGGGTTCCGAGTCCATATACTCTACGGCTCCTATATCATACATCCGGGTGTATGTACACCCGGCCCAACTATGGAAGACAGCCCAATAAATCATACAGGCCAAAAAAAATCGGTGGCATTTTTGTAATTTAGGCAAAACATAACGTCTTCCGCTAAATGAGCAATATTGTACTTTTAGTGAGCATCCAACTTAATTTATTGAGCATTAAGAGGCTAACAATGAGTATCACGATCTCTGCTTTATATCTTCTATTTTTTGTTCTTTTTCTTATTTTTTCTTTTATAAAACTTATTAAATTATATCTATAATCCACTCATATTAATTCCAATATACGAATCTAATGTAATATGATAGTTTTGAAATATGCATTGATATGACATTTTAAAAATGAGCATAACATCAGTACCAAATGAGCATACATAACTTTCAAAGTGCACATTGATATGAAAATCGTAAGGGTTGTTAGCCGAACATCATGACATTTGAATTGAGCATCAGACCTCATCTATTGAGAGGAAAATCATAGTTTTTGTTAAATGAGCATTAATGAACGTTTAATGAGCATCATACTTATTCTGTTGAGTATTAGGATTCCAATATTAAGCATCGTGAATTCTGATTCATAACTTCAGATTCACTCTCTTTTTGTTTTTTTTTTCTTTTATAAAAACTTATTGAATTATATCTATAACCAAGTCTTATGAATTTCAATATGTGAATATAATATAATGTATCTCATTTTAAAATGAGCATAAGACCAAAGCTGAATGAGTATATACAATTTACAAAATGAGCATCGAAAAATTCAAAAGCTCATTTCAAATCTCCAATGTGCTCAAATGTTCATTAATGTTACATCAATGCACATTTACTTTAAACGGTATACTCAATATCGTATAACACACAATTTATTTTAATAACCTCCATGAGTAATCATTTTAGAACATATATCAATACACATTTCCTATAAAGAAAAAAAGAAAAAAGACAAAAAAGTAAACCAACTAAAGTAAATTAACTAAAGTAAAAGTAACGAAAAAGTAAAATAAAAGAAACGAAAAGAAAAAAGAAAGAAGAGAAAAAAAGTAACGAAAAAGTAAAATAAAAAAGACAAAACAAATATAAAAAGAACTAGGATGACAGGATGGAGGCTAAAAAATGAAAAAGAATGGCGGCTGAAATAAATAAAAGCAACGGGAGTGAGGGAATGAGGAAAACGGCAGAAGAAGAATCAGATTACCACGTCATTTAATAACCGGGTGTACATGTACACCCGGGTGTATAATATAATTTGCGATATACTCTATCAGTGTGTGACACAGCAATCACAGGTCATATAGATCCTTCTAACGAACATAATAGCTAACAAAATTGTCAATCATTATTGTAGCCTTAAAACCAAAGGCATAAACAAAAATAGAACAACGTAAACAAACATAGCGTGAAAAAGGACTATAAGAAATAATATAACTGATAAAAGCTTCAAACTCCTTCATGCCAGGTTTCTTGAAATATCATCTTCCAAACCCTGGCACCTCGATCGCTCCAAGACGGCGGTTCAAGAGGGGGGCAGACCGTCGATCTGTCTTCCTACTTGTTCTGCCCTTCACCTCTCCCCATCTGCTCGTCACCCGTGCCGCCTCCTAATATGGTCGACGTGTACCTGCCAATCGTACCAGCTTCTCCCCTACTACATCACCCTCCATCTCTCTGTCGCTTGAGCGTCGAAACACGCTATCAACCTTCTGCTCACTCGCCGAAGAAGCAAAGCTGAAATCAAGGCCACTTTGTGTATGTCATCCCAAATCTAAGGTAGTGATCGACAAGTTCTTGGAGCACGCTTGAATAACCTTTGAGTGCCCAAAGCAAAGCCATATCCTAATCCGTTATACGAAACAAGCCTCGCCCAAGATAAAACAAAACCCAAAGATGAAATCA